CTATGTGCTACACATGTCACCATGTGCTACACATGTCACTATGTGCTAGCCTACACATGTCACTATGTGCTACACATGTCACTATGTGCTACACATGTCACTATGTGCTACACATGTCACTATGTGCTAGCCTACACGTGTCGCTATGTGCTACACATGTCACTATGTGCTACACATGTCACTATGTGCTACACATGTCACCATGTGCTACACATGTCACTATGTGCTACACGTGTCATTATGTGCTACACATGTCACTATGTGCTAGCCTACACATGTCACTATGTGCTACACATGTCACTATGTGCTACACATGTCACTATGTGCTACACATGTCACTATGTGCTAGCCTACACATGTCACTATGTGCTACACATGTCACCATGTGCTACACATGTCGCTATGTTCTAGCCTACACATGTCACTATGTGCTACACATGTCACCATGTGCTACACATGTCACTATGTTCTAGTCTACACATGTCACTATGTGCTACACGTGTCACTATGTGCTACACGTGTCATTATGTGCTACACATGTCACTATGTGCTACACATGTCACTATGTGCTACACATGTCATTATGTGCTACACTTGTCACTATGTTCTAGCCTATACGTGTCACTATGTGCTACACATGTAACAAATGTACAACACGTGTACACCTACTCACTGCACGTGTGTACAAACATCGAGTTGTATAAAAAAACCGGTGTAGGTAGACTGGATGACGTCAAGATATCACGTGTCAACACAATTAGCTCTGCTAATTAATAGCTGGGATATATGACCTTCTCGCACTAGTCTGTAAATAAACGAATAACGTTTTCATGAGAAACGAAACTTTGATACGCTTTGATAATTTATTACGTAATGCCGAAAACGTGTGAAGAATTTTTATCTTACTTTTTTAAAACCAGGATAGCAAGTAGGCGCTTTGGAATTCGTAAATCTAGGAATGTTTAGTAAATTTAACAATATGTGTACATGAACGAAATGTGTGTAAATCTTATCATGCCAAGGAATGCATGCAAGTTTACAAACTTTAACTGTAAATGTATCATTGTAGGCACGCGTTCCATGCAAGTAAAGCAGTTTCGAGCCACTGACTGGAGAAAATTGCCTTCATAAACTGTGTAATGTTAATGTAGTTTCTTTAATTTAAACATGAAGGGAAATCCCGCACTAAACGCGTCACTCCGTAAAGAAAGTTTTTACTTCCCTTGCATCGCGAGCATAGGAGACTAATGGATGCAGTGTGAATGACTTAAAGAACTAATACGTTTTTTAGTTTCTCGACACAGGAGAGTTCTTCGTTGTTGGGGGTTTTATTTTGTCTAACACGGAGTAGATAAAAGGGGATTCGAACATGTTACTCTCGTTAGGGTTGATGGATTAGTCCTGGGCCACCTGGAAATGAAATATCAATCTGCGGGGTTTGGTGAGGGGGCCATCCAAGGGAGCTGAAGTACCGTGGGCCACCGGGGATAAAATGTACCAAGATTCACCTGGGATAAAATGTACAAAAGGCCACCTAGAATCTAGTAACCTATCAAAGATATACAAAGAATTAATTGTATTTGACTACCACCGTCATATCGTCAAGGATAAAAGCAACGCATATACAGAATGTTTTAATTTTTTTTAATTTTAAGAACATATTTAATTATGTCGAAACTACAATTCGATATTTTAATACATATTTTGCTTAATTAAAAAATATTTAAGTGCACTATTAATAACTTAGTTATGCTTTTAAAAAAATTGAAACTAATTAAGCTTGTTACGCCCCTGCCCCCCTCCACTTAAAACGCCTAGGGCTTAACCCCCTCTCTTCCCCCCATAGCTTCGCCACAGGTGCATCTACAGCCCTTAATCCATCCCGAATATCACTCGTCTTCTGTTTTCCCAACACATTATCTACCTGCCATATACAATATGACTCCCCATGTGCACTCCACGACTTCGTTAATTATCAACTCGCATTTTTCGCGTGGTTTAAATGCGAAAAAAAATAAATAAAACCCGCTCTGGAACCTGCGCGCTTTAAACTGATCCACATCACATATTTCAAAACACCCAGCCGGCTTTTAAAACGTGGCGAGGACAGGGTGAACTTCAACAGCATCAAAAACATTTCACCAGTTAATCACGAGCAAGCCCTTGAGTCGGGATCATCACACGGGGTGTAATCACAGCTAAAGTGGCTCTCTACACTTTTATTTCTTGCAATTAACGACGCCTGCCTCGGGTAAAATAAGATCACCCCCAGGGGCGTAGCTTCATATTTCGGTGAACAAGGGCGTAGCCCTTACTATCACCGTCCTTATATTAAAACTAAACAAAAAGGCAGGTACTTGACAATACCGTCCACCCGTATTTTACCTGATCTGCATTCGCAAAACGCTAAACTTCTGACCCTAATCGAACCCCATACTTTATCATCACCCCTACTCCATTAAGCAAACACACGTGCCTTCATAACACGACCTGACATTCTTAATATCTTATGTAAATAATGTTTTTTATACCATGAAGGTAATTTTTTTTAAACTTCGAATTTCGGGATTTACCGATTTCTATTTATGTTTTAAAAGTTAAAATGAAAACCATGTTTTTCAAAAAGTGATGTCTCCTTCTCCGGGCACTGATAAAAATTTTTTTTACGACATACTTCACATGTTTGATTACATGAATCTGTTCGCACCTTTCGAGAATAAACAAAGTTTAAACTATATTTATAAGGTGGGTTTACAGGTACGAAATAAAAAGTGGCAAATTATTTCTATAAATAATTTTTGATGGCAAAAGCTATAAAATTATATCAGGGTGTGGGGGTGGGGGTGGGGGGGGGGGGCGCTGGGGGATAGTAACAATAATGTTTGATATGCTGTTTTTTAATTACATTTAGACAAATGGGTTGAATATGTAGTTGTCAAATGCTTCAAATATATTTCATCACGATATATTTAAGTTGTCTATGTTTTTGTACTTATAGAACGTGGGAGGAGGGGGGGGGGGATTGTGAATGTGATCGTTTGACATAGATTTGGCACATCTTATTTTTTGCATAACGCGCGATAAAGGGTTGAGTTATTCGAAACAGATTGGTCAAGGCAATGGATGTTAAACTAAATTAGGATGTCAGGTCAATAGGCAGAATGTTTGCGTGTTTTTTTTTAGAATGTAAGCTTACGTAGATCATATATTATTATGTTTTCTTCTAGCCCTTGGCATACGTGTGAGTGTATAAGGCGACAGAGCATTTAGGAGAATAAAGAGTATAGATGGTTGTTAAGGTTGTCAATGGTTATGTTCACCTTTCAATTGGTGATAAAACTTGTAATGATGGATGCTGGTAAAGTAGAGCTGATCTGTTTTCACTGGTCAGGGTGTGTGCGTATGTTTTTGTTGGGGGCGATCTGTTGACTGAGCTGTGTAAAGGGATTGCCAGTCTTTTCCCCAAATCATTAGAACATAACGACTTCAAACTTTGAGGGTGCTCCCCATGCTCTCTCGTCATTATATCAACATTTTCAGCTGCTACACCGTCTGAAATTTTCCTTCTTTTCGTAGTTTGCTTTTATGTAGTTTCCACTTTATATCCCACCCAAAGCTTCGCCGCCCAATACTTATTAATAAAAACAATAGTGCCTTAAGAAGCACAACAGCCTCAACAGAACTGTGATCTACGTCAAGAATTGAATCCAATCTTTAATTGTGTATACCGCATCAATATTCAACCAAAAGGTACGAAATGTTTAAATTCTTTATCTCTCGATCCAGTCATTATATTTTTTTTACCTGTGGTATACAGATTTTCCTTCTTTTTCATATGTTAGAAGTACAAATTTTAATGAATTTATGTTTTTATTTTGGAAAAGTTTAAACTAATTTCACAAGAGACGAATGTCTATTCTCCCCATCTCGTTCTATCTCACTATCTCGGCGCAGCGCTAAAAAAAATAAGGTTAATACCTGTAGTGTATCAAACATAAATACTTCTATTAAGCTTTGGAATTTTCATAAAATAGCGTTTTACCACCTGCCGAAGGTGTGAGACTAGTCTGTATACCTGCACATCTCTACACGAAATTCTTATCAGTCTTCAAATCTTCAACAGCTTAGCATGTTTTTCTAAGTTCTCTTCCTTCCTTCCACCACACACACACACTCATATATATTATTATAATATATATATATATATATATATATATATATATATATATATATATATATATATATATATATATATATATATTGCTCACTGTGGCAGACGCTGGTTAAAGTATATATTTTCATTTTAAATTATATATATAATAAATATATAGATTTTAATATTTTTAAATTATATATATAATAAATATATAGATTTTATTTTCAATTTTCCAAGAAAATGAAGATGAATCAACACAAGGGGGGTAACACATTTTAAAAGAAATAAGTGCTATTGGATGGATTCACTCCCCGAAATAAATAAGGAGTGTAATTGTTTAAAAACATTTAAATTACTAGATTCTAGTTCTAGATATATTTGGATAGATTTTTTGTGTGTGTGTGCTAAACAAAATAATTTAGCCTTCATATCCGATTGATGATTAGAGATGATAAATTAGAGTCAGTGTTTCTTTCAGTCTACTGCCCCCCCCCCCTCCCGAACGAAATGGAATTTATATAGAAAAAAATTTTTTTAACAGCGTCCACCCCCACGGAAATTTTAGTGCCCCCCCCCCCCCCCCCGGAGAAAAAAGTCTGGAAGAAACACTGGAGTTATAGGTATTAATCCTAAAAATGGGTCTTAGTAGCATTTTAGTCATATTAAAATTTAATAAGTAATTAGATTACTATTAAAGCTATAATCTATACATTAGTTGTTTTTCTGAATCGATTTTTCACTGTTTACTTTAAAAATATTGATTTGTTTATTGTATTGTCACGATTGGATATAATTTTATTATTCGACATCCGGAATAAGTTTGGAGTAGTATCCCTTTGTAGTGAGAAAAGCAAAATGGTGGCTTAAAAAAGTAAACGATAGGGACATAATAAATGTTGACAATTGTTTTAATATTTCCAAGCGATTTCCAGTTTACTGAATCTAAATTGGCACTGAGATAAATTTTTAGTGCATTTTATTTCAAACTGTGAGGAAATGTTTACGGGCAATTAAAATTACACTTGGCATTAGCATTTTTTCTATTCTTCGAACTAAAAATCAAATCGAATCCAACTCCAACCAATCTCAGAATCTGACTGAGCCATCTCCAGTCAAGAGTCAGTCCCATCAAACAGATTATATTATAAAATCTAGTCTAGATCTAGATCTAGATTTAGATTCTAGAATTCTAGGCCTAATAATTAAGTCAGTGAAAGCCAAGAAATAAGGCTCTTATTTAACTCTTATTATAAAAACATCAGTACTGCAGTTGACCAGTTAGTTAACTAAACACAGTAGTTACGTAGTACTACTACTACTAGATCTAGTAGTAGTAGTCTACTAGTCTCAGACTCAGTAAACACAAAAAAAAAAAAACAAAAAAAAAAACAAGTCACTTTCTTAGTGTGACTAAGCAGTCCTACTTACAGGGCACTACTGGCCTAAAATGATAATTTTTTTAGGGATTTAGGTAAAAAAACACTAATCATCATATAAAAATAAAAATTACATATTCTTGTAGAGCTCAACTATATGAAAACAAAACAAAAAAGATTTTCTGTCTAGCTCAAATAGTTTTTTTTTGGCGAATTTTTTTGTGAGGGGTGGAATCCCCTTGCTTTTGCATTGGCCAGTTGTGACAAGTCATGGTATACCTGAATAAATTGAGCATAGTTATTTTACTTGCAGTTGTATTTTGTTCATATTTGCAGAGTTTAACTAGAATGATATATAGAACTTGTAAATGCTGTTGAAATTAATAAAAATAATACAGAACTTATATTTTTGTGTTGGCTTCCTCCCATAACCCCAAAAAACTGTGTGCTGCGCAAATATGAAAATGTTTCTAAAGCCATATTTTATACAAATACAGCAAATGAAAGAACTACAAAGTTAGAAATCTAAAGTAAATGACTTGAACACTGTTATGTGCATATAATTGCCTCATTATTTTGAGCAGGTGAAGTAGAGTCCATCTTTAAGCCATTTTGTTATAAAACTGCTGCGCAAATATGAAAATGTTTCTAAAGCAATATTTTATATAAATACAGTGAATGAAAGAACTCCATAGTCAGAAATCTAAAGTAAATGACTTGAACACTGTAATGTGTCTATAACTGCCTTGTTATTTTGGGCAGGTGAAGTAGAGTCCATATAAAAGCCATTTTGTAATAAGTGAAATGAAGTTATCAGATCAATGTTTTTATGTGTGAATTGTGTATGGATTCTGATTTTCAGCATATAACTATATCTAAGGGTAAGTAGAACTTGAATACTTAAAATTACAGTTAGCACAATGCTAGTATATAGCAACAGACAGGTAACCTAGATCTAGGTCTGACTCTTGTCAGTCTAGAGTCTAGTCTGACAAAATTGGAATTTTAGGAAAAACATATTATGCAAAACTAGAACTAGAGCTGAAAAAATTAAAGATGGGTATGTAAATATATTTTGAAATAAAAAATTAGATTTGTTTGCACATGAAGAATGCTGTTATTAGTTGATCAAACTTAAAGGCAGGAAGATCGGGATGAAAAAATATAACAATGGTGGCAGCGTGACCTACATACAGTGACTACGTTCGGAGGGGTATAACTAATGTCGGAGTCAAAATATCCAAAAACAAATTTCATTTCCAATTACTTAAGATATGTCTGATCAGTAATCTACTCTCATCTAGAGGAATCTTTTAAAAAATCGAGATTCCAACGTATTTGAAACTAACCTTGATACAGAGGGAAGACCAAAGCAGAGACAGCATGCAATCAGGTCGCAAAGCCATTAAAACTAAGGGACAACCACTCTACTTTTTAATTAACCTTAGGAAATGACCTTTTAAACTTAATTAATTACCATAAATTAAAAACTTATTAGTATGCAAAACCAAATCTCGTGGGTCCGGTATCAGAAAGTAATGGGCGATTTCGGGTCATGTTTTTACCGCGAACTCGGCGGATGCCGACAACCCTAATTTTTTAAATCACAGATATTAGATATTCTAATCATGTCATGTGATTATCTAATTTCTAAGGTCTGTTGTTTTGATGCATTCACCAACAACAGATCCTTCAAAATCAGTACAATTACCTAAAGTCCGAAATCGCAAGTCCTAAACTAAATGTATGCACATCTCACACTAAACACTATCAACAACACTCAACAAAACTTTCTTTCACTAGTGTATGAATTATATTTAATAAATATTAGGCCCTATCCTTTAGTTTAGGGGTCTCCAAACTTTTCAGTCTGAGGGCCGCATTAACTATCAAATTTCAGTTTAGGGGCCAGTTTCTTCCAGGCATGTCGTGATTTTTCTGAGCAAAGTTCCTCTGCCATCACCAACAAATGTTTTTTTCCGTGGACAAAAAGATCTCCGCGGGCCGGACGAGAGGACCTCGGGGGCCGCATCCAGCCCGCGGGCCGTAGTTTGGAGACCCCTGCTTTAGTCCTATTCATATTTATTATATCTATTTATTTATCTCAGGTTGTTTTATGTGTATCGTAAGAGAACCTCGCACCATTATTATAACAATCAGGCCTAGATCTATGGTGTTGGTATGATTTTACTTTAAGCAAAAAAAACTAAAATGGATGAGAGAGAACAGATATGTTACAGCCTCATTACATGGGTAATTGTAAATTTACTTACAATTTTTAAACATAAATAACGTAGTTAAGGGATGGTGTGGCCTGGCCACAAAATGCAAGACTGCATACCCAAAAGTCTCGAGTTTGAAACTGGGTTCATCTAATTGTTCTTAAAATTATACATTTTAATATTGTTTAATTATCACTAATTTGCTTTGACTTGTTGATTATGTCATTTGCTACATATACATGTCTTCATTAATTTGTATAATTCCTATAACAAATATTAACCCAACTTAATATTCATTTCTTCAGCTGGAAACATTTCACCTGGAAGTTCCTCATAACACACCAGCTGATCTCAGTGATGGGGTAGCCATAGCACAAGTTTTGAGCATTATGTAAGTGTAAGGCATGTTTAATGCTTAGTTATGACACACAGTTTTTTTTAAATGCCTGCATTTTCACTTTTGCTGTCAAAGTATCTTGTTTATGTTATAAAATCAGTCCGCTCATCTTAAATTAAAGGTATTGAGAAAGTTAGCTTCATCAGGTGAAAACACATTGATTTGCTGATCTCTAATATAAAACACCACAGCTATAATATTTAGAAACTGATTTTTTTTTTTTTTTTTTAAATTCATTCACCTTAAAAGAATAATATATCGAGGGTATAGAAGACAAACGCAGTATGTCCAAAAAAAACATAAACTTGAGAAAAATGAGTTTATAAATCTCATTCCAGTATTAAAATAGTGCAAAATATTATGTTTAAACTTTCATAAAATATTTGTATTCTACTTTTCTGACATTGTTCATAAGTGTTCTTGTAGCTTGTATTATTTACAGTATCCGTATAAATGTACATCGATTTGACCTTAAAAGTGGACATACTGCATTTTTCCTCTATACCCTCGATATTTTCTTACCTAATTAAAAATTATTTAGCTGATTATTGGACATTGAAACATAATCTTTGTATCATCAGGTGTTGACACATTTGTTCTTTTTTCCTACAGAGCTCCCAATTTCTTTACCCAGCCATGGCTTTCCAAGATCAAATCAGAAGACCTAAGCAACTGGAGGTTAAAGGTTAATATGCTTTTTTTTTGTTAAAGAGAGTGCTGCTACCACTTAGGTGTAAGTTCTATCTGATGAAATGTTTTCTTAAAATTGTATTTTCTTTTCAGGTGACAAATTTGAAAAAGATTTTAAAAGGGATTCTAGAGTTTAATTTAGAGGTAAGGTATTCAGTTTAGCTGGCAATGTTTTCACTTGTCAGTTTAGCATTCACAATTAAGATTTAAAATAAAAAAAACTATTATTTTTTTATGTATCCTTTTCTTCCACATTACCATTACAACTATATCATCTTTCTTTCATTTTTCACACTTTTAGTGCCTTGGTGTAACAATGCAAGGTTTTCAAATGCCTGATGTTAATGCTATAGGTATGTTGTCTGTCAAAATATGATTACTACATATTTCTTTTAAGTTTTGGCCCAAGTTGATATTTTTTCAGGGGTCGGCGTAGTTAAGTCGGTAAAGCTCATGGTAGCTAAGCCGAAAAGTCTTGAGTTTGAACCCTTGGGCAGATGAGGCTCGTTAGCTGGGGACAGCCACTCTTCTAGAAGAGACAACTCCAAAATCAAACAACTGCTGTCTTGAAGCAAATCCAAAAAGAAAAGCAGGCTGAAATCGGAGTCAATGGCCTCAGTAGTGCATAACCAGTTGACACGTATACTTAATTGTGTTGGAGGGGGTCCCTTCCAACACTAAAATTAAGAACAAAGAAGAAGAAAGATATTTTTTCTATTGCCAACACTTGATGAAATCATAAATTACAAATTTTTAGTGGTGCACTTTAGTTCAATCAAAGCCCCCGTGTTATCACCATCACCAGCTGTTTTTGTTTCCTTGTAGGTGAGCACTGCGACTCTCACGAACTGGGTCGTCTCTTACAGCTTGTGTTAAATATAGCCATCAACTGTGATAAAAAGCAAGAATACATTCAGACTATCATGAGCATGGAAGAAGATGTCCAGCAGATTATCAAAAACGCTATTCAAGAGGTCAGTTATAGAAAGCATACATTCAAAATCAAGTTCATTTTTGTTATTACCAAAACAATTTAAAAAAAAAAACTAATTCTCCTTTCCATTTTAAATAGCTAAATGTAAAAAAATTTTCCCATTACTTTCTGTGTTAATTACTGATATTCTCAGCCCTCATCATTTGCTCTCAAGCCATTAGTACCTGTCAAATTTAATTGAGTCCCACACATGATACATGATCTTTATAAAAGTTTTTTTATCCATAATGTAAACAGCTGATGACTAAAGAATCTTTACCAGCTGATGACTTAGAGGCGGAGATCCAAGAACAAGTAATTTTTTTTCTCTATTTCATTAATTCAATGGATTGAAAACATTTTTCTTACATATTTTTATTTAATATATTCCTTTTAATCTTTATTTGTCTTCAAAAAACATTGGATTAATTTTGTTAACTTATAGCTAATGTCTACTTTTTGTTAACTTTAAAACGAAAAATAATTGTTAAAAAAAATAGTGTAGCAAAAATAAAAGCTCAACTTTATTAAATTGATGTCAATTAAAAGTTGTTTTCTTTTTTTGTTTGACAGCTAAAGAGAGCTGTTGATGAACTTAACAGTTCTTTAGAAGCAAAAGAAGAACTTTTACAAAGGTGCCATGAGTTGGATGCACAGGTATAAAGCATTGGTTTCTTCTACTCAGATTTGAAAAGTATTTAATTAAAACAGACTTTAGCATAGTTTTTATGTATAGCAATTCCAGACCGTGTTCAATTAGTTGCTTGCTGTAGCTAATATTTGTCTTATTAAATAAGTTTAAAAAATTCATAATTTATTTTCTAAAATAATGAAGGTTGCCAGTCTACAAGAGGAAAGATTGAGTCTTTTAGCAGATAAGGAGAAGCTGGAGGAAAGGTTGCTACAGGCTGAAAGTCTAGAGGACCTCAGGTGAGATAACATTGGCTTGGTGTGAGTACAGTACCAGGTTTAAGTCTACTAGGTTGTGACATTTTCATTACCTTTTAAGCTTGACTGGAGATGAATTTTCTTTTACAAGTCAATTTTATAATTGGTCATTTTTTTTTAATATTGCAGAAGTAGCCCTTTGTGTTTTTTCTCATTCTCTAATGCATGTGATATATGTCATGGCTACTTGTTTGCTCTTTACTTGTAAGATACCATATTAACTGTCACTTTACTGCACATTGACTTTCTGGTATTTCTGATGCACTAATTGGCATTAAAATGTGGCAATTACCCACAAATTAAATAGTTTATGGGTTTATGCATTTGTACAATTCTGTTTCACACAAATTAAATAACCTGTACAATTTGTACCTTTATAATTACACACAAATTAAATGGCTTATACATTTTTACCATTTTAATGCCACACAAATGAAATGGCTTGTATATTTTTACCTTTTAATTTTCCAGTACTCCAGCAGGTAAAAAGTTGGTCCAGCTCCAGCATCAAATAGAGGGTCTACAGGAGGAGATCTACAAGCTAGAATCTGGTGGGTTCCTTTATAGGGAGATTAGTTTCAGTTCAAGGATAATTTAAATCAATAGAAGTTATAAATACATTCTATAGGGAGATTGGTTTCAATGCAAGAATAATTTAAACTAATTGAAGTTATAAATACTATAGGTTTCTTAGGGCCCTACTTTGTTAGTACAAATTTGTTTTAATACTAAACTATGTGTTTCTATTGTTTTTAGTAAAGATGACTATGTTAGTATACTTTTGTTAATACTTAACTATGTGTTTCTATTATTAAGGTAAAGATGGCTATGTTAGTACACATTTGTTTATACTTAACTTTGTGTTTCTATTGTTTAGGTAAAGATGACTATAGAATAAAATTTGAAGTACTAAACAAAGATTACACAGAGTTAAAAGAAAAGGTAAGTGGCTCAGGTGATTTTAATAGGGAGATTTAAAAATGTAATAACCATAACCTTTTTGTTATAAAATGATCATTTCTGTTAGTTCATTGTTTTCTATTGAGTTTTCTTCTATCCTTAGAATGCCGAGTTAAACAAACTAGCATCAGAATCAAGAGCTATGAAAGATGAACTAGATATACTGCGTCACACGTCGGACTTACTGGTAAGAACTTTTCTTCCTACTTTCAGTTTTGATTGTTTATTTTCTCTTAATTGTAATATAAACAAGCTCAATGTAAAGAGGCTATTAAAATCCAGAATACTTATACAATTTTTTACATTATTTAATATAAACAACCGTTATTTATCCTAGACTAAGTCAGAGGCACTAGTAGAGTCCTACAAAAAGAAATTAGGTAGGTGCAGATTAGTTTGTATGCCAAGTTATTATATAAGTTAGTCATGAATTACTGTTTTATGTATGGTTAACTAAATAAAATGGATGCCTACATGTGAATGAAATAATGTTGTTGCAGAGGATTTGAGTGATCTCAAGGGGCAAATGAAACTGTTGGAGGAGAAAAATACAAAGTACATGCAGCAGCAAATAGAAATGGAAGAGGTGAGTTACCTAACTCTGTTGTAATACATTAGTAACTTCATGCTTGCTTGAATTATTCGAATTATCTATCGGTGTCTCTTTCAGGAAAAAAATTAATGCGAAATTATGATTCATTTTATTTTAAATTAAATTAAATATAGTATTTAATAATTCATGTATGTTGTACATTTAAGTTAATTCTTTCAAACCTCAGTGAAGCATATTGTTTTGTAAACAAGAGTATAGATTGATTTTGTTATGACTGTGATGGGGACAATACAATGTTGTTTTGACTGTGATGCTGGACAATACAATGTTGTTTTGACTGTGATGGTGGACAATACAATGTTGTTATGACTGTGATGGTGGACAATACAATGTTGTTTTGACTGTGATGGTGGACAATACAATGTTGTTATGACTGTGATGGTGGACAATACAATGTTGTTTTGACTGTGATGGTGTACAATACAATGTTGTTTTGACTGTGATAGTGGACAATACAATGTTGTTTTGACTGTGATAGTGGACAATACAATGTTGTTATGACTGTGATGGTGGACAATACAATGTTGTTATGACTGTGATGGTGGACAATACAATGTTGTTTTGACTGTGATAGTGGACAATACAATGTTGTTATGACTGTGATGGTGGACAATACAATGTTGTTATGACTGTGATGGTGGACAATACAATGTTGTTATGACTGTGATGGTGGACAATACAATGTTGTTTTGACTGTGATAGTGGACAATACAATGTTGTTTTGACTGTGATAGTGGACAATACAATGTTGTTATGACTGTGATGGTGGACAATACAATGTTGTTATGACTGTGATGGTGGACAATACAATGTTGTTTTGACTGTGATAGTGGACAATACAATGTTGTTTTGACTGTGATAGTGGACAATACAATGTTGTTATGACTGTGATGGTGGACAATACAATGTTGTTATGACTGTGATGGTGGACAATACAATGTTGTTTTGACTGTGATAGTGGACAATACAATGTTGTTTTGACTGTGATAGTGGACAATACAATGTTGTTATGACTGTGATGGTGGACAATACAATGTTGTTTTGACTGTGATGGTGGACAATACAATGTTGTTATGACTGTGATGGTGGACAATACAATGTTGTTATGACTGTGATGGTGGACAATACAATGTTGTTATGACTGTGATGGTGGACAATACAATGTTGTTTTGACTGTGATGGTGGACAATACAATGTTGTTATGACTGTGATGGTGGACAATACAATGTTGTTATGACTGTGATGGTGGACAATACAATGTTGTTATGACTGTGATGGTGGACAATACAATGTTGTTATGACTGTGATGGTGGACAATACAATGTTGTTATGACTGTGATGGTGGACAATACAATGTTGTTATGACTGTGATGGTGGACAATACAATGTTGTTATGACTGTGATGGTGGACAATACAATGTTGTTATGACTGTGATGGTGGACAATACAATGTTGTTATGACTGTGATGGTGGACAATACAATGTTGTTTTGACTGTGATGGTGGACAATACAATGTTGTTTTGACTGTGATGGTGGACAATACAATGTTGTTTTTTCTGTACTTGTGCCAGGAACTGAAGCGTGTCACCTTGCTGAAGCAGCAACTAGAGACTTACAAGCGCCAGACCCTAGAACTCCAGAACAAAATCACTGAAGAGACCAAACGAGCAGACAAGGCAGAGTTTGAGTTAAAAAGGATTCAGGATAAACTTGGCACCCTGCAGAGAGAAAAAGAGGTTTGACATAGTTTATTTGGGTTTCAACCATTCATCACAATACAAGCAGTTTTAATTGATAAGGATAGTAAAATTCCCTTTTCGAACCTGCCAGTCAATGGGGCAAATGAAGTAGAGTTCATCTGTTACTGTGACCTCGGCATATGAAGTGATAGTGTGGTCAGCACTATACCTAGCTGCCTTTACTTTCCCTTACTTGAGTTAACCGGGTGGACTCAGGGATGTTCTACTAACCTGAACCCGGATATAAAGTCAAGATATTCGGATTAGCAGTCAAGTGCTCTACCGCTAGGCCACACCGTCAGTTGATAAGGATGCATAAAGTTAAAAATTTCAATTTTCTATCATGTAAATTTGAAAAAAAAATGATATTAAATGCCTGTAACCTCTACCATGTCCATCTCCATTGGACAGCGTGTCCAGTCAGAGCGTGACTCCCTGCGTGAGCTGAATGATGAGCTCAAGTGTACTCAGCTCCAGAGCTCAGGTCTAGGCTTGGCCAGTGAGCTGGAGGACCACAGCAGTAACATGGAGATGTTGTCCTTACCCACAGAAATCAAGTAAGCTGGGGGTGGGGCATACACTCTGTGTCAGGGGTGGGGCATACACTATTTGTGTCAGGGGTTGGGCATACACCATTTGTGTCAGGGTTGGGGCATACACTCTATGTGTCGTGGGTGGGGCATACACTATTTGTGTTGTTTGCTAGAGTTCTTTTCATTCAAGCATATAGCAGGGGGGGGGGGGGGGGGCTTAGTTGGCTTTTGTCTTCATCAAGCTACTATTTTAGTGAATTTTTTTTCTGATTCGGAATATCTTTAGTGAGTAAAATTAGCTTAATACAACATGGAATTTATTGTTCTTTTTTTTACCATAGTTTTAGTATCTCATACAAACAATTTTATTTACACTGAGAGACATTAGTTCTTTACTTTCCACTCCCTTTTATTCAACAAATTAAACAGATACACTTCAGATGTGAACTGTATGACAAACACTAAACATTCAACATTATAATCAGATCAGTATTGCTGAAGAATGTACTAGATAAAACTTAGCATCAGATATCTATATATATAATTCTCTTCTGGGATCAGTTAGAAAACAAGCTGCAAGCGCGCCTTTGCAGTCCCCTCTCTTCCTCTCTATCACTATCACTACCACCCCCCACCCCTCCCCCACATGATCTGGTGAGCGGTGTTCACTCTGTTTACATTTTACAATCACAGAGACGGGTTTGGTGACGGCTATTAGGGGCAGATAATTTAGTTTTAAACGATTTTAAACTTAGAGGAGGTAACTAAGAGGAGGCTGCTTTCACGGGGGGGGGGGGGGGGGGGGTAGTGTTTTTAAGCAAATATTTTCAATGGCATCATTGGTACTGTCAAATTCACAAATTATAAATTACTGAAAAGTAGAAAAAAACAACTAAATAGCGGCGTATGATACGCAGCGGGTCGGCTCGTATCTTTTAAATGACCACTTAACCTTCTAAATAAACAAAAAGGAGGTTTGTTCTTCTTTGGTGGCCATCATAACAAAGGCAACAGTTGTAAACAGTAGCTCAAGCAACCCTCCCCACTGTATTTATGTATTGCTGTACCCCTCACCCAATCAAACTTGTGTCCCTTGTTTCCATGTGATGGTGCACTGGTTCAGTAACTAATTGTTTTCTGCCAGAGAGCGCCTACTGAGGCTGGAACATGAAAACAAAATGTTGAGGATGAAAACGTCGGCTGGAACAGAGGAGGCTCTGGTCTCCACAGAACTGCTTGATGAAGCCAATGCCAAGAAGAATGAGCTGGAAACAGAAGTCAGGTAATCAAAGGAATTATTTACAGTCTGGCATGTTTAAAAAAAAAACATTACTGCAGTTTGCCAAAATAATTCTTGTTTGTAAAGTATTCCCTCTTATAAAAATAATGTGTATATATGTTTTTGTGCCTATTTCTAGCTAAAGTTGTTGAAAATAAAATTTAAATATCTGTATGAAGAAGGTAGATCTGTATGAAATAAAAACAAATTTTGCTGTTGATACCAAGTCATCAAAATATATAAAGCTCAATATTTTTCCTATGTTTATAACTACGTTGTTTTAGAAAAAAATTGGCAATTCTGTTATGCTAAAATAAAATCAGGTCTATTAAAACAATTGTCAGCTACTCTTTCACTGATTGTCTATGTTAATTATAAAATGATGATAGGTATTTAATAAGTTCTGGCAAAAAAGTCTGATATTTTTGTCAGAACTTTGCGACCTGAAAAAGAGTAGCATAATTTCTCTTGTCTAAAGACGTGAAAGTTTAATTTTTTGCCTCAGGTTGTTGAACCAGCAGCTGATGAAGGTCCAGGCGGAGCTTGAGGACCTGCAGGAGAACGAGAAGTCCGCTCACGCCGCCAGCAACTCAGAGTTTGTCTCCATGAGGACCCAGCTGTCTGAGTTCAAGCACAGGATGGAGGAGAGGGACCTGCAGCTGCACCAGAAGCAGCAGCACATTGATGACCTGAGCACCCGGCTGGCTGATGCCAATCTCAGGGTCGTTGACCTCAGTGATCAGCTGGGGAAGAAGGAAGAGGAGAATCGGGTCATGGAGCAGAAGTACACCAAGTACCTGGAGAAGGCTAAAAATGTGAGCTATTTTTAGGTGTTGTTTATCTTTACTGGTAGTGGTTATATCTGGAGAAGGCTTATTTTGTGAACTATTTTAGGTGTAGTTAAGCTGGCCTGTTTGTGGTTCATTGTGCTTGTTCAGTGGTTTTGGCTCAGTAGGCTGGTTGGTGTCCTCTATAAATAATGTTTCACACCCAAAGCGAACATTATGCTATATGGAGGAAGATATAGGTTCTAAAAGAAACATATATTTGGTATTTCTCAAGAACTAAAAAATTATTTAATAGAAGTCAGTTTTTCATTAGCATGATTTATTTTTTGACATAATTTCAAAAAAGGTTACTGTGGCTTTTTCTGATGTCATATAATGTTAAAGGTGAAGGGTAGCTCAAAATGTGTGTTGTCATTTATGGATAACCTTCTTAAAACTTTGAAAGTGATATAGGACTGCCCTTGCTAATCACATCTGAAATTAGCCTGATGAAAAAGTCACAAAAATATTTAATCCTTAAGACAATTAGTAATAGCATTTAAAATAATTACAGTATTATTTTCAAACAAGTATTGCTTAAATTGTATAATTACTTAACGCAAAAATTGTTTGAGCAGGTGATAAAAAGCCTAGACCCAAGACACGCGGCTGACTCGTCTACTGAAGTTTATTCCTTGAAGAACCAGCTTCATGAGAAGGACAACTACATCAATTTCCTTGAGGTATTTTAGTAGAATGATAGTGCTTTAATACCACATCAGTGCCCATTGGTTTTTGGTCATATAAAAAAATGTTTTCTTTCCTCAGAAAGATCAGGAGAAGATGAAGTCTGTGAGGGAACAGGAAGAGAGGCTTATAGTGACTGCCTGGTACAACTTGGTAACTATGGTTTTGTTTACTAAACTAGCTTATATATTACATCAAAGCTAAACAAATAAACTGGAAGCGTAGATTTTACTAAGTGGTAAAATCCATTAGAAGTTATTATGAGTTCATGTTCTGATAATTTTTTAAAATAAAATGATATTTTTTTTTATGATAATCTAAATATAAAAATTCATGATTTAATATGTGTAGGTAGAATATATGTTATTTAAAAACAAACACAAGTTGAGCATTGTTATAAAGATTGTTGTTCTCTGCAGGGCATGCAGCTACATCGGCAAGCTGCTGAAGAGCGCCTGGCCAACAGTTCCATGGGTCAATCCTTCCTGGCCAGACAGCGTCAGGTACACACACGCAGGTCCAATACAATTAGTTCTCTACAGAGTAGTGCTACCCCAAGGTGAACAGATTCAAAACTTTTGCTTTTCTAGCGTTTTCCAGCAGCTTCAAGAATTATAGACAAATGTAGTTACCTCCCCTTTCATAATTTACGTCCTAAATCTTGCTTTTGGTTTCCACTCCAATTGTATTCAGTCTCAAATATTTTAAACTAGTAAACATGGAGATACATTTTTAAAAATCTAATTGGGAATGGTTTTAACAAGAATTTTTTTAATTTATATATTTGGGAATCTCATTTGCAGTGTAGTTTTCTTTTGTTTCATTTCATGCCTTTGTGTTTTTGTTTTACTGGTTTTAAAATGTACACTAAATCCCAATACTATAAAAGTGTGCCTTTGGACAGTACAGACCGTGTCTGTTAATTCACTTGAAAACGATGAAGAGATTTTAAGTGATATTTTTGTAACGGCTATTCTACGTTGTGTGAATGAGTTTGTTGTGTCTGCAAATCAGTGCTAACCTGATGTATTGAAAGGTTTTTGGAAATGAATAACTGGGATGTTTTATTGTTGTTTCTGTCATACCAAGCACTTTAGTTCCATTAATCTTCCATTGCATTGCCATTTTCTTGCTACACATTGTAATCCACCCCTTACCATCATTACTATTATATATTCATTGTAAATTCCTCCACTAATCTCACATGAAGTTGATGCAGTTGAATTATCAGTATCTTAATGCAGGTATAAGTTACTGTAAAGTAATATGAAAATCTCTAAACTTAATTAAAGTGTTTAAAAAATTTTTTTCCTAAAACATTTGAGCCCCACAATGTCCCTTCACCTCTAAGATCATCATAACACTTTAATAATATTGCTTGGCTCAGTAGATTTATAAAATTTAATTCTATATAACACTTGCATGAATTTTTTTTTTCTTATTTTATGTTCACGTGTGCACATATGTCTCACTCTGCATGTTTTGATAGTGTACTTGGCACTATTTGGTTTACCCTTGCTTGGGTTTTCCTTAGCCTCACGTAACACTAATCCCACATTAGTTTTTAACAAAGAATGAATCTAACTTGTAGCTGATGATAGGAATAAGTGATTTTGTTCACCATATAAGCTACACCTCATTTCATCATTAAATTGCAGTCAGCGTTTGTTTTAGTAGTTTCCAACGTTTTCAATTTGTTTTTACTCAATTCAATGAAACATCTTTCTGTAAATTAAAATTTTAAACAGACATGTAATTAATCAAGCTTTAATGTCAAAAAGTTAATTGGTAAATTAAGATAAACTCTGTATTTTTGCAGAATATCAGTACCCAATCTATATTACCATCATGTTAGTACCTTTAACCTTATCATACCTACTTATATCCGCAATAATTCACTACCTTACCAGACAGTTATATCCCCATTGATTAATTCACTACCTTACCATACATAGTTATATCAGCATTGATTAATTCATGACCTTACCTGTTTGATAACATAGCAATATCCCCATTGATTTAATTCATGACCTTACCTGTTTGATAACATAGCAATATCCCCATTGATTAATTCACAGCGATGAAGTAGAAGGTTCACAAACAATTAACACACCTAATACAAAACGTAGATTTTCCTTCCGAAAGAACAAGTCGCCATCAGCTCCTTCACCATTGCTGTTGAGAAAACCATCCATGTCAGTTTCCGTGCAGCCTACAGTCCCGCAGGTGGAGGAAGAAATTTTCCCACAGATTAGTCCAAATCATTTCAATGGGGGTAGCAGGAGCAAACCTTAACATTTCTAATCATACCAATAGGATTTTTAAAGATAAGTTTAAATTCATTAATACTCTTTTAACAAGGATTGCACAAAGCGATCAAAATTTTTTTTTTTTAGTTTACAACGAATTGCATGATTGTATTTTTCTTAAACAAAGAACTCACTTAAGAATGTTGATGTTAATGCATGTTTACGATCACAATTCAGCACTTGCAGCTAATTTTTTCTTGGAACTGTTAAGCTTAAACAGAGCACATTTGTTTGATATTATTTTAAATCCATGTTTTCAGTTTCAGCCATAGGAAACTTAAGAAATAAATGTAAGGTGACTAATTGAAAACAATAACCTCAACTATCATTATTACTTAGTAAAATTGAGATACATTTTCAAACATAATTTAAAGAATTGAAGAATTGTAAGAATGTTTATTAAATAATTTTTATAGTTTAGATGTAACATTCCCTTGATACAAAATGTTAATCTTTCTATATCACATTTAATTGCTTTTTAGAAGAATAATTAAGTATGGGTTCAGAAATGTATAGCAGGAATATGAAATGATGTTTGCATAAGATTTCTGCATCAATCGTCTTAACCTGCTGTTAAGTCTTAACACTATGAAGTGTAATGTGAAACACACTTTGCATGCTTTTGAATACACTAGCCTTGAGCTGTACAGCACTTGTTGGATTTTTAGACTTTCTTTTTGGATCAAATTTTTAAAAAAATTTCAGTTTAAAAACAATATTGAAATTAGAAATATGAAACATTTTTTCAGCATGCATTCTGTTTTGATAAGACATGTCTACAGTTATAAAGATTGCAGTTTTGTATAGTAACGTTATTAGAAATGCTATTTCTAAAAAAAAAATGAGTTATCTTTTTTCAAACAACTGGCAACTTTGGTAAAGCATGAAACGCTGAAGATGCCAGTTTGAACAGGGAATAAGCCTACCATATTTATCTAGTTTATTCCAATTTTTAGCAGCATGGACTTAATGTAGCTAGTGGATTTGGGTTGCTCCATTTGCAAAAAAAAAAAACAATTAAAAGGTTGAGATTATAATATTTATATAGACTTAGAGAATGTATTTATATCTAGTTTCTGCATTGAAGTCTTATTCCCCTGGTTTCCCATTGTTGTGACATACAGACAAATGTGACATTTTTTTGTCATAATACCAGATTAAAATGTGCTATCTTTGTGGACCCATGCCTGGAGGTTAGTTGTTAACTCCTGTACAATGAGCACATATAAAACATCCATCCCCCCCACTTCACATCATTGTGTTGGCACACCTCCCCCCTTCCCTCTATGTTGTATGAGCACCATTACCTCAGGGGTGTCCTCCTCTACAGAAAGCCTTCGTGTCTACCACCTCTTTAGATTACAATGTACAATGTGATTCTGTATATACAATTTTTTTTCCTTCACCAATTACACTAACCCAGAAAGTGGATCATTTTTCACAAGTGGAGTTTTCAGTACTTAGCTTTTTAAATACACTATATTCCTTTTAAGTTTTTACTTTCTGAAGTACTTTGTTATCAGAATTATTTTTCATGTATCATTTTAATATATGCATAAAACATTTTTTTCTTCTATAAGTATTACTCAAATGTATTTATTCTGTGTGCTGCAGTGCAATGGAATAATAAATGTAAATAAAAATGAACTGGTTAGAGAAACAGCATTTATCCCTTGCCATATATGTTATGTTTTAAACTAGTTTTTATGAATTTTGAGTGTAGCTATCTAACGCTTTCTGTTTGCTTAAATCTCAAGGATTTATATTTAGAAATGGGGACTTTTACTATTACTTTCATGGTGTTTTAAAATAGAATACAATAGCATTTTGAAATTTGCTTTCGGGGAATTTGAAAGTTGTTTATTTTGTAGATTTATGAAGATCGTTAATTAATGGTGAATTTTAAAATTCAGAAGAGTTAAATTTGCTTCTAGGTCCTGAAATTTTAGGGTTTTAAATTGAATTCCATGGAGCTTGTCACTTATGTCTGTTTCTTTGTTTGTGAGGCCTGATTGAGTTCTATATACTTGTTGTAGAGCAAAACAATTTAATTTTTTAAAGCTTAATTTTATTGAAATTGACTGTTTATAAAAATGTAATGCAATATATAAATCATAATATTTCTTTAAATTAATATAATTTTAAAAGTTGCAATGGATTGTGATAATTGTCTTCAATAACAAATGTGTATTCTTGCATGCTTAAGCCTAAAAATATTTCATAATTCTACACTATATAAGTACTATAATGGGAGTGGCAGTGTATCCAGCTCATATGTAAGGGAGATTATTAATGCATTTATATAATCTGTGTGATTGTTCCTACTAAAGGTAAACAATTCTGTTGAAAAACACTCCAATTAAGAAAGTTGTGTATTTATTTTTATCCAGAGAGCTTTTTGAATTATAAATTACACATTTCATAATTCTACACTATATAAGTACTATAATGGGAGTGGCAGTGTATCCAGCTCATATGTAAGGGAGATTATTAATGCATTTATATAATCTGTGTGATTGTTCCTACTAAAGGTAAACAATTCTGTTGAAAAACACTCCAATTAAGAAAGTTGTGTATTTATTTTTATCCAGAGAGCTTTTTGAATTATAAATTACACATTGATTTGTTATGTGTAAAGTGTGTTGGCTGACATGTTTTCAATATAATTGTTAATGATCTTGAATGTGGTTTTTTTTTTTAAATTTTTTATGCACGATTATAACATTGATTTTTTTTTACATGTAAACTTTTTTTTTTCATAAATTTAAAAAAAGTGTGAACATGTATACATGCTTGGTAAAAACCTTGTCTGTAGTGTTTGCATGTAGCTAGGGTTAAATCTGCATTATGGAAGGATCCAGAACTTATTTCTTAACTGTAGCTGATGAAAATTGACACAATGTGAATAAACTAAACCATTATAGCGGTGATTGTCTAAACAATGATAAGGATGCTAGTTTGCTCTCCTCCACAAAAGTCTGGCTTTTATACCTTATAGTTCTGGTCATTGTTACCATAGCAACCAACAAGCCCTGCCAACTATAAAATTATCTTGAAATTTTTATATTTTTAAAGTGTCAAAATGTCACATTTCATCAAGTCTGAAGACTTGTGCTGCCTGTATTTATATTTGTACCAGTTGTCTCACATGATTTCAACAAGCTCTTCTGTATTGAAAGATTTTTAAAAAAATGTGTTCACAGCTAGGCAGAATATCCTAGTCCTATGCTGTGTTGAAAGCTGACATGGGAAAAATATTTAGGCAATGTTTTTTGAATGTATATTTTAAGTTTCACAAATGCTATTCTGATGTATGAGTTTGAATGTAACAGCTGAGGATGATTGGAATAAAATAATAGCACAAGTTCTTCATGTCTTGTTTTTTTTAGTTCTGTTTGTAGATTTAGATTTGATGCTACATACATGGCTACATTTCTGAACTTCCTCTGATCAGCAATGTGCAGTGTCCTATCTACAGATGTTACATGTTTATTTCTAATGATCTCAAGCCCTTGCATCTAAGTGTTTTGCATTATCTACAATTGTAACATGTAGAAATCTGTCATAAGCCATTCATACTTAATTTAAAAAATGACTATGTATTTCAAATGTAAGGCAGAGTTTTAATGTCATACTTTGACATTCATTTCATATTTATTTACAGAAATAGTAATTTTACAAGGACAGATAGGCGATGACATGTAAATTTATATTGTCTCATCTTGTGATGCTGGTCAGTAAAATGGTAGTCAGATGATAACTAACTATGATCCAAGATCTATGTCACTAAGAAAACATGTATTTTGTCACTACTGTCCAAGATGTACCCATTTCAACTTTTGCCACTTTAGCAAAGATGAAATTTCCTTGTCAGTATAATTTCACATAATTGTCATTAAAAATAAAGGTCTTTTCTGCTTTAGCACATGATTAAAACACACTTTAACATGTTGCAAACAATAAGGCACTTTGTATTTTAGCTGATAAAATTGTTAATACATAAGAAATGTAAAAATTGCATATTTTTCTCTTTAAAAAACTATACAAAACAAAAATGAACTTATTATGCCAAGAAAGAGCTTAAAGACCTGTTGACAAACACAGTGGCCTATCTTTTTTTGGTTTGAAATGCTGAATGTTAGGTAGGATGTCAAATTATATGGCTGGTTTCAACTTTAGGATACACCTTTTATTTAAAGGTTAACACACATCTATCATCAAAATAACATAATTATTTATTATAATTATTTATAGCAGGTAAAAAAAGTAAATGAAATTATGCAGTATTTAAAAACTACAAGTAATAAAATTGAGTTATTTTGCGATAAAGACTTCTAATGTAATTTTATGAGTATTTTTTATTCAGCAGGTAATTAGCAAAACGATTTTTAAGTTTTGGAGTGCAATTATTTATCAGCCTTTTAAATTTTTTTATTGATATTTTAAAAAAAATAAAAAAAATAAAAGCAATTATAGCATTAAAAAAAAACAAGAAGAAAGAAATGGAACACTAACTATATCCAACACTGACATAAATAAACAATCATTTAAAAATGATTCAACCTTAAGTCAAATAATGGAAACAAAATAAGAGGGGGAAATCAGTTAAAAAAAAATTGATTATAATGAAAAAGTCTATTCCATATGAAATATAACACAAGTAGATTTCAAACAAACAAACAACTCATGAGGGAATGTGAATAATATTTAGTGACTAGTAATTCTATAGCACAGATGCTGGCTAAATATATATGTATAATGCCTGTTGTGCATACTCTGCTTCAAGTCAGTTATATTATAATGCAGCATGAATAACAATAAATATTAGTATCAGTAAAATCAACATCATATTAAATATAGAAATATAAAAAAAAAATTATTATGCATTGTCCAAACGCCAAAGAAAAAGTTTTTAAAAAAGTGGTTTAATAAAAATTGACTGCACAAACTCTAGTTGTGTATTAGTGTCAGGTTTATAAACAGTATGAAAGCAGCATATCGAGTATCACACAAAGCAGAAAGTGGCTGATATTTTGGCTCCAATTTTTTATACAACCAAATATTTTGGTTCCAGTTTCAAAAGAATAAAATAGTATAACTTTGAATGACATAAAATTATGCAGCTACATACAGCAAATAATTAAATATATCAGATCCAAACTCAGGACTTATTTTACAATATAAAGCATTTGAGCTTTCATTGTCAAATAATACAATCAGGAATAATGTCCTATAGGAAACAATATAATACAACATCAGCTAAAATAATTTGAGAAAAGTTCAACAATTACCATCCAACTGATTCCAACTCTGCTCCTATATAAACAGCTACAGGACTAGATTATTTATTGCCTCCAGATGGTTAGCCTGAATAGTTTCAACACCACAGCACAATTTTACAAGGTCCTTTACGCTTTTCAAGTCAATTTCTTTAGTTACAATACTATTGCCACAATTTTACAAGGTCCTTTACACTTGTTAATTTCAACACACATTCTTAAGTTTCAATGCAATTGTGACAATTTTGGAAGGTCCTATGCAATTGTCAATTTCAACACCATTCTTACATTTCAATGAAACTGTCACAATTTCCACAAATTCCTATGCACTTATTAAGTTTCAACACATTTCTCACACTCCAAAACAATTGTACTCTTTCCTTAAGATCCTGCACACTGGTCTAGTTTTCATGTCCAAACACTTTACCAAACAGCCCAACAGCTCACAGCAAAACAACTTTTATCCTCACAACAGCAAAACAGCACAGATTCCATAAATATGGAAAATATCCTTGAAAAGAAATCTCACAACAACAGATCCAGCAGTATAAAACTTATCCACAGCACAACAAGCCAAACTGGCGCATGTAAGAAAGTCCTCAATGAGTTGCATGAAAGTCTGGAATTATTAACCCCATTGGTGCTAGCTTTACTATTATAATCAGGATCCTCATCACCTCTGTAGTAGTCGTCGTAGTACTCCCCATCTGCGGCTGTTGGGGTGGTCTCGTCATTGGGGAAGATGGTCATGTCATCTTGGTAGTCCTCAATCTTGATTTCTTCCTTAACAGGCTTGTTTTCTGAAAGAAGAAATTGTTTTTTAATCAAGGCATTTTGTAACGAATAGCCTATCCCAGAAAATATTGCAAGGCCCTGTACCAGGAGGGAATAGATCAGAAGGGAAAGACGTCACTGGATGAATGACATCAAGGATTGGACGAGGCTGCCCATTCTAATCAGAGTGGCAGATAGATAGTTTACTGTGGTGTCTCAACAACTTCAATAAGGGTTAAGGGATGATGATGATTTTCTAACATGACCAGAAGCACTCTATTGATTTCTAGTTCCCTTTATTTTCTATATTTTACTACCCTAAATGCTAAATGAAAAAAAATTCTTTTGATACTTTACAAAATTAATATTTTATTGATTTTTTAAAATTTAATTTAATTTAAAACTTAATTTTCTTTACAATCTGGCCAATGTTTCCTTGTAAAAATTGCAGAGAAAATCTGGCATAGCTCAGCTTGTACCTGGCTAAAGAAATCTGTGCTAGATTATACAAATAGGGAGCTTTTATGTGAAACACCTTTTGGAGGGCCATTAAAAAAACCAGTGCACCTACCACATCCACCATACACCCTGTCCAGACAGAGAATCTTCCCATAAAAACATCGGCACAGGTTACAGCCATTTAAAAAACCAGTGCACCTACCACATCCTCCATACACCCTGTCCAGACAGAGAATCTTCCCATAAAAACAGCGGCACAGGTTACAGCCTAGCTTGACCCACTGGCCATGCTCCACAGGTCCACATGACTTGACCTCTAGTTCACACCTAAAGCCTTGAAATTTGCTGAAACAAAAACCAGTTTTCATTTCAAAATTTGGGCATATTTTTAAAAATTTGCATGAAAAAATTGATAAAGGTATAATATTTACGTATGTGATTATTTCCATTTATTTCTGACTCACAAAAAGTGATTATCCAAACAATTAAAGGTTATTAAAGAAATAAATGTTTTACAAGTACAATCTGCAAAACATACACTTTATAATTGACTTACTCAGGGCAGTAGCAAAAGACACCCATCACACATACGTTTAATGATTGACTTACTCAGGGCAGTAGCAAAAGACACCCATCACACATACGTTTAATGATTGACTTACTCAGGGCAGTAGCAAAAGACACCCATCACACATACGTTTAATGATTGACTTACTCAGGGCAGTAGCAAAAGACACCCATCACACAAATGCCACCGTTCTCGCAACATTCCGACTTGCTGTGGTGTTTAGGTCGGGTGTCTCCACGGTGTTGGGTGGTGTCTGGGCCCGTGAGCCTGCCCTGGCGTGCGGGTACCAAGGATGACAGGAGCAGAGATGGTGTTGTCGCGTTCTCCATCTTGTGCGGTATACGCTGACCTGTGGAGTGGACGGTTTGTTAATTTGGGGTTCAATGTCTGTCTTGTGAAGTGGAGGATTCGTTTATTTGAAGTTAAATGCTGGCTTACAGGTATTTTTTTTCCAGCCACTGTTTCTCCGGGGTGAAAGAATATATCTTCTAACTATTTTTTAAAATCTATTTCGCTGTTCTTTAGAACAGTAAGCAATATAAAACCTACGAACATAAACGTGTTACTAGTGTTTGTTTATGTTTCCCCCTACCCTCCAATTAGGTGTGTAGACTGGATATTAATAAACAAGCACTATACCATCGCCTTACTAGAAGGTTTATTGTATAATCGATTCCTACGTGGGCATGTGGGGTGCGATTTCTGTTTGGTTAGGGCGCAAAAACATTTAACATCAGACATTATCAGAAGCCTTTATAGTAAACCCGACATACAAAATCAAAGTCCTGACCAGCCCGACATCTAAGTAGCTCTGGCCAAACATGTCGCGCCATGGCAGGAGCATTGATTGCACTTGGAGCTGTCGTCAAGGCGCCATCTCTCTCCACTGGGCAAGATCTTCCGTCGGACAAACACAATCTGGCCGCTGTTGGCGCCTGATATGGAAGACCCGGTCGTAAAAGTCTGGCCACAATGGAGGAAGGGTACGTAGTCCAAGCGATGGCTGGTCGACCGGGAACAAAGCCCGGATGTAGCAGCAGACGGAAGATGGCGGCCACGACGGCGAGATTTGACTTGTAGGTGATACGTGCCGACACGTTATAGCTAAAAGAATATGGTTGGAACTACACAAGGTACAGGGTTGACTTGAAGACTGCGGGTGGTCTACAAGTCACTAACAGACAAGATGATTAATGACATCTAATACAAAAGACAGAACAAATAGTAACCTCTCCTGTACACTATGTGTGGATGTGTGGGTAGAATAACTAGATACCAGACACTGTCATTATTTAATACGTTATAATTTACATGAAAGATAGTACGGTTGGCGGGGGTGTGAAATAACCACGCCTTTAAAACAGATGATCTACCAGGCAGGTAAAACAGTGTATGTCAAATTACAGCTAGGTAGTACGAAGGGAGTGCTTGATCAGATCTGGTGGCGTGTGCAAGAAGTTGTTATGGGGGGGGGGGGGGTGGTATAGCTCATGGTTTCTAAACCGAAAAAGCCTGAGTTAGAACCCTTCGGGCAAATTACAGCCACCCATCTAGATAATTCCAAAATCAAACAACTGCTGCCTTGTAATTTGTTCTTGGTTAGAAGCAACCCCCCCCCCCCTCAAAAAAAAAAGGCAGGCTGAAATCAGAGTCAACGGCCTATAAGGCGCATAATAGGTTGACACGTATACTCCATTGTGTTAGACTGGAATCCCATCCAACATTATAATTCAAAATTAAGAAGATTAAGTTATGGAGAGCACCAAAATACACACACACGCTCGCACACAAACTGTCTATTTTTGCACATACTGTATAAATAATTACATAAAATAACTTAAAATTGTCATTCGTGACGGTCAAAATGAAAACAATTGCACGCACTATGTCGTGCGACGCTGCCTAGTACCAGTTAGAGCTGAGTCGACTCATTGACCACCAGTTGGGGCGTAGCTCGAGAAATTCGTAACTTTCAGGTTACCACACAGCATTGCCCCCCCCCCCCTATGTATGCCTGGGGAGTGGGATGACAACGACGACAAAGCCTAATCAAGAAACAACAACCCAAGTCTTTAAACTAAGACTTTACGCAAATCACATTAATTAATTTATGTTATAAGAAGGGTAATCAAAGTTTTGAATCCTAACAAACAAAAATGTGCTGAGTTTAAATAGTCCAAAGATCTAAAGAAACCAAATTACGTCAGCATAAAAATTAAGATAAAGATAAGCTGATAAAAGATACTGGCAATGAGTGAAAAAACGCATTTCAACTTTTTACAATGTAAACAAGGAGTATCGTCATCAGTGTGTGGAGATAACTCGGTAAATCATGTTTTCTTTTCAAATGAACTTTAGTCAAGTGCCGTAGTAGATGGTTGTTTATAAGGGGAGATAACCCCACTTATGGTTAACGTTAGTAAACATGTGCGGATGCTAATTTTATTGCACTAGCTTTTGCTTCTACCTAAAAGACGGTACTTAACCCCCCCCCCCCCATCCCCACACACACACCCAAAAAAAAAACCCACCTCACAATGTACCAGGTGTTGGTGTAGGAAAAAGTGACTCGTTGCTCTCCCCCCTGATAGATCAAAGCGGTTCTCTCCCTTCACATTCTGGTGTTGCTAGCATAGCTCGTGCCACTTTCTATTCTCTGGGCAACCGCCTAGCGCCACGAGATACTCGCTGTGGTTTATTGGACTCGACTGGGGCGGAGATACTCGATACTACCCTCACGCATTGCTGGTCACACCGTTCCACTTTAATCAACATAGAATTGTTTCCCTTTAAACCAACTTAGTCGGCTATAGAAATCTATATACATAAATAACAATGTACAGGTGGGATTTTTTAAAAATAACATAAATGGTTACTCAAAAGTAATCAGTGAGTACTCGCTTTACACAAAAAGTATCGATACACCATACTTGGTGAGTTATGTAAACATGTAAGGAATCGTATCGTACTTTGACGACATATTTGACATCGCAGTTAATGTCAACATTCTGTTTGGTGTTGTCTGGACAAGCAGCCAGCTGGGCGTGGCATGATGGCGCCAGGTCACGTGATACGGGTTCACATGTTTTGGACAAGATAATTGACCACAGCGTAATGTTTCACAACGAGTATGAGTGTACTGAAAGACTATACAACTCCGGTAGATATTTTAGTCAGAGATCAGTCTGATAAAAAACGAATACATCCACTTTTGGATAATGCTAAATCTAGGTACTGCTCTCCAGAAAATCGTTTTCAGATTTTTACATCTTAAAGAAGGTCTACTATTTTACAGAAATGATGAGTTGCCCTGCTAAAAATTAAACAGATTATTTTAGATGAATGGATTAATTAATCACTGCGTGTAATGTATTTATGCAGCATGCTGCAGTTAGTTGGGTATTCTGAGTTTTGTATTTTCGCTTGTTACTTTGTTTTAAATAGGGGGCTTAGAATCTTAGGTTTTTTGTTGTTATTTTTAAAAGGTGTGTTGTCTTGCGGTTGTTTGAGAGTAAGGCTGTCCTGTGTTAAATTTTTATTGGGTGCGGGTGTTGTGTATTGTGGAGCTCTGGATCGTATGGATGATTCTTTTATCAAATCGTATCATCCAATTTAGCAAACCAAATTATTAGTTCACGAATAATGTTGCTGTACACGTCCGATTAATGCCCGTGTCACGTTTTCTACTCACTCCTGTACTTTAGCCACAATGTGATTTCGTCATTCTTCGATTATCAGGATCATCAAGGAAGTAATCAGGTACGGGTTTGAATTCATTCCTGACCATATCTCCTATGTGTTCATGGGCTCTAAAGGTCCAGACACGACTAAACTATCCGTCAGATTACGGTACAAGTGCAACAGATTGTCTCTAATCCAGGTTTTAATTGAAAGGATTAACCCCTATTATCTTCTCTTTCCCCCCTCCCCCCCCCACCCCCGATAGATTTAATAGAATGCTTATCTGGTCGATAAGGCGTTCAGTATAATCTAGTACCAAAAACGTTCCAACATAAAAATTAACATACATGTTGTTTTTTTTTTTTACACTTTTACACTTCTCCTAACAACAGCTGATTGCTAAACGTCATAGGTAAGAATAGAGGGGGGGGGGGGGTGAGTCATGAGCCCCTACCCCCCCCCCCCCCCCCAAAAACACAAAAATAAACTAGCGGTCAAGAGTCTCTACGCTGTGATTTTTGTCGGCGTGTGGGAATTCCCGTTTTTCTTATCTGCCCTACCGCCCGTAGTCCTGCCCTACCGCCCGTAGTCCTGCCCTACCGCCCGTAGTCCTACCCTCAATGGATGCTGCATGGGCACTAACACAAAAATTTATCACATTATCTCCCCCTGCCCACATTCCCACACGATGCCAGATTTTTCAGGGTGGAGGGGTGGGGGATGGGTAGGTTGCATTGCCCGTGGCCCCCCCCCCCTCCCTAAAACACGATGGCCGGGCTAATTCAACGCATTTGTGCGGTGCTACACTAAGTAACGGTCAAATTTATTACCTTTAAACATCGCGAGTGGCCGCTAGGGTTTCCCCTGGCCGGGCGCGGATGTTTTTGATGGGGGGCGCGCGCTGGGGTGGCTTGTGATAGCAAACACGGAGGGGGGGGAGGCAGCTTTATCGCTTCGTGGGTAGGCGTGAAACTAAGGCAAATGTCGCTTTGTCTATTGATGAAAGATTTAAACCGGAAGTGGGAGTACACATAACTTTTTAAGGCACATGATAGATGCACGGGGTGCTAAATTTAACAATACTCTAAAAGTCAAAATCTTCAGCTTGATCTAAGTAAACATCCAATACGAAACCAGGTGTGTTTTTTTTTTACTACACTTAATTAAGCATTACACAATGCCCTGTTAAGGCTAATGACGCAAAGCTAAATAAAAATGAACTTTCCTTTTGGAACCTGACGGGTCATGGGGAAAATGAAGTAGAGTTCACTTTTTTCAATGACCTCGGCATATGAAGGGATATTGTGGTCAGCACAAGTCTTTAGTTTTCCTAACGTGAGTTAGGTACCCAACATAGCTGGTTGGACTAGAAACTTTCGGATTAACTTACCAGTCTAGCGCTCAACCGCTGGACCAAGAGGTTAGGTAGGCACCAACAAGTAAAAAGCCCTCTATTTTTTAAGCGTTTAAAAAAGGGAAACAAGCGTCCATGTTACTTACAGCGCTTGGGGCGAATAATTGAAACGAAGAAAAACCCTGTTGGTCTGTGGGGGGCTGTGGACCTGTCTGACAGGTAGATCAAACGCTGGGGGAGGTGAAAAGGTAAACACGTCGGTGTAGGTCTGGCCCATGTCCGTGGAACATGACCCTCGTACTCGTTGACCTCTG